TGTGATCCTCTTTTGCAACCCTCTGACAAGCAAAGTCAATGGGGAAGCCAGATTCACTTAACAACCATGTTGCTAACTTAACAACTGCAGTGATTCACTTAAGAAATGTGGCCAGATCGTAAAATGGGACAAAATTTACTTAACAAATGTCTCATTTATCAACAGAAATGTTGGGCTCAATTGTGGTGGTAAGTAAAGGACTACCTGTAATTTTTTTTGCATTTATTATCCATTCAAATGCAAGTATATGATTACAAATTATATTTTAAAAATCCATTATTTCATTATTTAACCTGAATTTCCTTAAGCTTAATTAGCTGCAGTCTCATAAAAATCTTCCCACAATTTGTCCAACTTAAATAAAGAATCAAACATCCACTTATACAGTAACTATCTCAATACATTCATAGCCATTTCAATCTGTCGTCTTCATGCCTGTTTTTGATGAGACTGTGAATAAAGGATCATAGTGTGACGGGATGGTGCATTACCATAAATCAGGTTTTGTGAAAGACCTTTCTGTTCACATGGCCTGCAGTTTGTAATTACCATGGTAATCTACTCTGAAATATCAACTCTTAGATACATCAAAGGGACACCGCAATAGACTACTCAACTTACTCACCATCTAAAGGTTAATTTGTGTACAACACGGTTTTCATAGTCAAAGTAATATTTACTAAGGTAATAGAAATCACTTTCACATTAACTGGAAATGGTGGGGAATAAACTCATTCATACATACATATATATTACATATATTATTCATGCTCAGCTAAAAATATAATGCACAATGTTTTTACTACTGCTGCTACAACTTGGCTTGTCAGAGAAAACTATAATCATAATCTTGCTATTTTTTTCAAGCATACTTTTAAAAATACAATCAAAATCCAACATATAATTCATTCCAAAATTTCAGATCAAGGACACCATTTTCAAATACACATCTTTCAGTACTTTGTTCAAATAATAGTGGTGATTTATTAAGAAACATGCTTTGGAATGTTGAAGTCTATTCATGCTGATTGTCAATCCCTATAAATAAGTATTTATCTAATTAGTAAGCCATTCAGGATCTCTTTTGTTGTATTTGAAGTTAATAACCCTTCAAGAGACTGCCTGGACATACAATGAGAAAAACAATTATTGTAAGTATTTAAATGCTTTGAAAATTGTCTTCAGAAGAAAAATTTAGCAATATAACAGAACAGTATAGTTGTAACAGGGATTTCACAGGATACTCAGTAAATAAAAATTAACATAAATGAGCACTAGATAAAAATTTTAATTTCTTTGCTGCTGAATTACTTCATGGAAAAATCATACAAATGAGAAATGGAAAGAGCACAGAAATAAATACAAATTTGTTCAGTAATTCATCTTATATAGCTGATCAGTACAAGACACCTAAATCCCTCATTCCAGTTAGTTTTCATCACATGTCATTTTGGTGCAAACTCTCATAAGCTTTTGGTTATTCTTATGAGATCATTGATGGGCAAGGATGGCCTTTTTAGCCTTCTTGGGGAAGGAGGCTTTAGGAGAAGCTCAGTGCAAATTAGGTGCATTTACCTGTTAAAATCTTTCATGCACCTATTTTAATAAAGCAGCCAAAATCATGCCATAAGTACGTTTTGAGTAATTTTGCAATTGTGGGCCAAATGCATTCTACCCTTGACTTCTATGAATGACATAATATGCATTGACCCTTTGGAGGTATAGGGCTCTTATATTGGTTGTCTCAGTAGTATATACAGTTCAAAATTATGAGACATAGGGGAACCTTATATAGCAACTGCAGGGCATATATTGCCACACTATTTTATTTTATTTTGGTTGTGCACTAAATGAATTGTGAGAGGTTTGTTTATGAATCCATAAACTAACTAAATACATGACCTGAGGAATGTATTTTTATTCCCATGTATCCTTCCAGTTTCTTTGAAACTTTAAACAGATGTTCTGACAAATACAATAGTACAAGACACCTAAATTTGTTTGTATAGAGTCTAACAGGCTGAATTCCGAAGTCAGTCTGCACATGATTGCAGAATTAGAGAATTTACATATTAGCAGTTCATAGGCCAATGCAAATTATATACAAATATTTGACTTACCCTTTCTGCACCAGTGCAAAATGTTAATTAGCAAAATCTAAAGTTTTCAGGAGTCCTAAACTTCCCACCTTTGCTTTATTTGCTTCACAATCCAAAGAACCACTAGCATAGGATACCTGGCAGCCTGACATATATTTATTTAATTTATTTATTTAATTTAATTTATATGCCGCCCTTCTCCCTGCGGGACTCAGGGCGGCGCACAACATATTTAAAACAAAAGCATATATACAATCCCCCCCTGTAAAACCGAATTAAACCAAATTTTAAAGTTGTGTCTTCCAAATTCCTAAAAATGAACCCAGTATAAAATCCTCCCTAGGTCAGGTCCGCTTGCTGAA